AATTTTCTCATCATTGATGATTGCTTTACCTGCTTTGTGGAGCTCGATTAAAAAACAAATGTCCTTCCTCGTCTTTGTTAAAAAGAAATCCATTATACCCGTTATTGAGATAATGATATAGCTGTATTTCACCAAACGATTTTTTATATGAGGAGAATGTCGGAAAAACATTTTAGAGAGTAAGATATTGTCTTGTGTCCCACTTGTTGCGCGACACAAATTAGATTATACACACTCAAGTGCCTTATTGGACATTGCATATTTTTGTGTTTTCTTTCGAGCAACTGTCACTCGTGGGGTACAAGTGTTGTTTCCTGATTAAGATAAATCAAACTATGTATATGTTTTTACAAGTATAACACTTTTCTGTATGACGCTGAGCGCTAAAGCCTGGCGTCATTGTAATACGATCGGGTGGAGTGTCGTGTTACTGTGTTTAGATTATGACAGTTCAGTATGACAACATTACGACGTGACCGTTTGGTGTTCCTTGGGTACTATCATTAGACAAACACAGATAATAAGAAGAGGTATAACATCAAGCACACGTTTTCCCATGAATAACTTATCAAAATTTTACTCAAGTTAAGCGGTAATGGCGACCGATGATTAGGTAAGGATAGGATTATAAAAATGTAGCAAATGTCACGAGTATAAATACAGTTGTTGTTAATTATTACAAATCATCACAAACCAGCAAAAGAAGATATATATTATGTTTACCTTCTACGTCTACGTGTATGAAGTTACTACTAAATTCAAGTCTGTTACATGAACATTTTTAGAATGTTGGCATGTTGATGCAGAAAAAATAAGCTCGCTATTGCCGGGGGTTTCATCTGATAATGTTTTTCCTTGACATGTTGGTTGGTTGGTTAATTTACAGGTTTTTCGTCTCCGCGACTCCTCCCGCGTATGGGTATCGTTACACCGAGAGCGTCACTGTTCTGACGTGGGGGTGTCCTACACCTCTCTTATACGAGTGGAACCGGTGATCGTTTGATTATACTAGTTTAAGAAGACAGCTGCATGGCCTAAAGATGCCTTATCTTACCTCCAGCTGTTTGAAACATGTCTCCAGCAGTGAAAGGGTCAGCATATACTTGGTTTAGGTAAGAGTAATTTTGGAGTCCGTCTAATGCCTTGAAATGTTTTTCCGTGATAAAGCTCTACTTATAATTTGATTTATCCTTCGATGTATAAGACCATTCCGATTAAAAGAATTAGTTGAAGCGATAGAAGATCTGTATAACTCCATTGTTGCTAAGACATGTATAAATAGGATGGATTCTATTTCTATTATTAAAAAGCCCATGAGTTTCTGCGTGGCCTGTTTGAACGACTGGAGACAATTCTAATGTTTCACCACTCTGCTGCTTTAACAGACCATTTTTATTTTTTATTTTAAATTCCTTGGATCAAAGGAGGCAGGAACGACTTCTTCAAATATCTCTCCCGTTATTTATTAATCGCAAACCAGATTTACCTATCTTTGCTTTTAAAGTAGTTTATAAGATCGACAGCGTGTTAAAAAGGAGTTTTCCACGAGATATTCATGTAACAATATGTCCATGCATATCATTTATATTATTTGAAATAAGGTAACTTCATGCCTAAAAGAATACTTTCCAAACACAATCATATTGGCAACCGCAAACTTCCTTAGTGTCTGCATATCTCAATCAATTTTCTTCAAGAAAATGAAGGGTTGATTTTTCAAAAACGCAGATTCATGTGATTTCTAATAATTGTTTTCTTTATTATGTCGATTAATAAATTTTACTAGCATATTCTTGTATGAACTATATTCTTGTCATTTCCAAAATATGTTGGAATGATGATGAATATGAATAGATACTGTAACTGATCTATATGTACATCCATTAGATGGAATTTGACACGATACAATATGTAGTAGTGGGATAAACACGTTAGACCATATGTGCGTCATGTAGCAATTGCATACCTATTGACCATTACCAACAAAGGTCAGCTTGGTTTCATTTACATTATCAACGTAATTCCTGAAGCTGTGTTAATTGTCCTCACCAACATCTGTCTCCTAACCAATTTCATATATATCAACATTATTACATAGCCCCTGAAGCCATATTCGGGGGCAGAGAGCCACACATGATCATCTCCAGTTAGCAGTATATAATGCACATATAAGGTACAGTTGTCCGGAAATGCACTGCATATTTGGACCAAAGGATTAGAGGTAACACATTTTTGCGGTAATATGCGTGTTCGTTATATTTGCTTGCTTTGTTTCTGGAACATAGCCTGCGATATATTTCTACAGTTATCTATAATTACGTTCCTTTATATATTTTGTAATTTTATGCAATTTTCATTATCATGTTTTACTTATCCTGCAAGGATGTTCAGGAATATTGATTTAAATGTTTATCATTTATTCATATAAACCTACATCTGTACGTGTTTACAAAATCAAATATTCGTTTCCCTTTTCAAGATATATAAAGTAGACATTCCAGTCCTTCATTGCAAGAATGGAAATGAAGTGTTTGATCTTCGCATGTTTGACATTAGCTGCAATCTTTGTTCAACAAACACTTTCCTGCTCCTGTTATCCGGCACCTAACTTTCCTGATCGTTATTGCAGTTCAGGATTCGGTAAGTAAGCAGTAGCACTGCACAACCGTACCTATATTTTCAGTGTAAACATCATAGAAAATATAAAACATTCTTTACAGTTGTACTTTTTGTAACTCACATATAACTAATAAATGTGTGACAATCCTTGTATTATTATACAACGATTTTATAAAAAAGGTAAAATTTAGTTTAAAAAAAAGCTAATCAGCAATTGCATTATGCAACACTAAAGTCTTTGTCATCCTTCTAGGATTCCTCAGTGATGCTATGTACCTGTATAGATATATTACCATGCCAGGCATAAGAAAGGATCATACAGACATGCACATTGTAATACTGTTTTTGTTTTATACAGTTTTTCGAGGAAAAGTTGAAAATGAAACACTCGATCGGAAAGGTTATTTAGGATTTCAAGACAAATACGTATACACAGTGAAAGTTGAGAAGGTGTACAAATCTACGGAGGTAAGTACACAATCGGAAAGAATTTGGTCAGAAATCATTATTTAAAAACGTTTACCTTAGTTCCATGTCAATGTTAAGTGACTCTTCTAACTTAGAGATGTCATCTTTAAATACTTCTATCATATTCTTATCTTTATGGTATCAATTAGCGATTATTTATTTTCTTGGTGAGATTTTTTTATACAGAATAGTGATAAACAGAAAAGGCTTAGAGGTAGTGTTTTATAGCGATTATTTAGTTTCTTTGCGAGAATGTTTAAATGTTTAAACGGAATAGGCTCAGGGGTGGTGCATTATAACTACAATAACTATGCATTACTATCAGAATGCTCTTTTATGAAAAGTCATTTTCCTCTTTCAATGAACTGTAATAAAATGATACATGAATAACAAGCTATAAAACATGTGAAAAACTCATTTTCACTGGATTCAATGAGATTAAATCTGCATACCAACCAAGAAATGAAAAAAAAATGGAATAGGTCCTAAATCATTTATTTAACAGAGTTCTGAGTTTTACCTTTTTATTTGGTACTTTGATAAAGAAATCTTCAATGATCCGTTCATGGTTAAATCAGAGGAGTATTTTTGCTTTAATTTTGCAATTATCGCCCAAATAGCGGTTTTCCCCGAAGATAAAGAAACAAGATGAAATATTTGTTTCGGGTCCTACAAATGAAAGAAAATGGTTCACCGAGTCACAACTCACGAATTTAAAGTCTGTAATTTGTAACGATAAACTATGTAAAATTTATCTGACCTCTACCCAAGATTTCCAGAATTATATTCTATAGAATTACCTTAGCAACGCAAAACGTTAAAATTGTTGACGCTATTAACTGAATCACGCAAATAACGCTTTAAGGTTCAACTATAGTTAGCAAAGTATAAATGATAAAAAGTACCTCCTAAATTTTAAGTTATTATACATTAGAATTTATCTTATATCCAATCATGACATACTTTCGTTCAAACATGAGTTTCACTTCTCCTCAAAGCCCACTTGTAATAATATTATATGAGATCAACATTGAAAAGAAAAAAGGAAAAATACCTTTATTCAACTAATTAAAGAAATTCATATTTTAATTTACTGAAATTTGCAGCTGGCAAAAGATAAAGTGAATGGAAAGGGCATGGTGCATCTTGAAACCCCAAAATTCGGCTCTCTGTGTGGACGACCTCTCAAGCCTGGCGCAGAGTACCTTATTTCAGGTAATTGTTTCATCGCCGATATAGTTTAGTTCATAGTTTGAATAGCAACATTAACACAAATAATATATACACTTTTGAAACCGATAAGAATGTTCCATAAGAATTTGTCAGTTGATTTAATCAATATATTTGTGCATTTTATTCAGCAACACCAACTAATTTCAGCAGCAGACCGATATACAAAATGTATTGTAAGATATATTTACTGAACATGACAAACCCAATAAATTATATAAATTTAATAGAAGATCGAAATATCACAATTTGTATTTCAAATAGTTCTTGACAAAGTAATATAGATAGCAGTATCATTATATCAGTTTGAAAGGCATTTAGATCTAACTAGGTATTTGTGTAGTTATCACATCGAATACATTAGTGTCATATCATAAAATGTAGTTCTACAAATCTACTTGTACGTAAAGAAATTTTTTTTTTAAATGAAGAAAAAAAGATATGTAGTGTGCGACCAAATTTTAAATTCGTATCACAAAAGCGATGAGTAATGTTGTGAGGTTGTGATATTTAGCGTTTGATCTATCGTATTTCAGTCACCCCATACATGATTGCTCGTAATTCTGACGTCATGGGTATCAATATGTGTGAATGGATCGAGGAATATAGCCGGATATCTCCTGCAGACCTACAAGCACTTGACGATGAGTTTGAATGCATACTCGACTAAATCAGCATAAACATCAGTATGTTTTAAAGTTGATTTCCTTTTGCATGTTAACTGTTAAATCCAAAATTGTTAAAGCATTGTTCTGAGAAAAATATATTTTTTCAAATAGTCTTGAATTCGCCTTTCGTAAGGTCATTAAAGTACAACGAAAATCAAAGCATGGCGAACATGTCTTGGTCTACAGTATTGATCGTTAAATCATGCATGGTGATGAATATGAAATCTAATATTTCTAATTGTTATTCAAACTATCACAGCACAGAGGAATATCAGTTACTTTTTGCACTTGTTCGAAGGATGACAACCTTAATTTCAAACTGTAATTTTCATCCACCTTATGTTTCACTTGTCACTGATCAATCATGTGAAGATATCAAATATGTAAGTTAATTAAATGAGAATTAATTCCTTCCTTTCTATTGACTGTTTAATTAAGATTTTTACTTGAAACCATGGAATATTTAACTTTTCACTTTTTGTTTCAGATTACATTTTGAATGAAAGGAGGTCATTACAGTTCAACAGAGCAGACGGAATATATATAACCTTTCTTGTCATCTTGTCAAATAGTGACATTCAGTGTATGATATCTGATTCATAGATCTTGAAAAATTATCTATCAAAACTTCCATTTCTAAATAAACAATTATTTTTTGTTTTTATGTCTTTTGTATCGTTTGTTCGAAAATCTAAAGCGAACTTTTAGTTTTTATTGAGAAAGTCATGACAAAGAATTTCGAATGGTGTTTTTCTTTATACGAATATATTTTGAATTTTGAATTATAAATACTGAATAACAAATATCACACCTTATAAAAGATACAACTTTGAATAAAAGATAGTATTAATCAATTATTATGGAAATATGAGACAAGTTTCATATACATCATATAAAATGGAAACGATGTTGGATATTTTTTATCTCATATTAATTGATTTATGAAAAAGCTCTTGAAATATACCATTTTATTGCCATCCATGAAGCCAACTTGGTTCTAGATGAAAACCAGCGCTATCGTAATACTACTGACTACGTTTAACAAAAACATAAAAAAAAACTTTATTAAGTTGCTTTTAGGGAGAAAATTGCCAGAACCCTGAACTCCTTTACCGAATATCTATCTCTTTGAGTACTTTGTTAAGTAGTCATAATATACAAGAATTAAAATTTCAGAGCGATTATGATCTGGTGATTGGAGTGTTAATTGGTAAAGACTTAGGATTCACCAATGCTAAATAATCTAATTCCTGCTTTTGGTCAATCGAATATATCAATATATTTTTAGTGAAATAACAATGACAATTACGTGATCAAACATTGACTTTTAATTTCAAAAGGCAAGGTAATACACCGCCTGTCATCGTCACAGAATTGGAGAGGCACTGAAAAAAGTAGTCCCGTATTGCCGTTACGTTTCTTTCGTTTACATTCCTGTAAATGAAATCGGGTAAACGTCAATGGAAAATGGTTTTAAAAAACGAAGTGTAATTGTTTTATGATTACAACAACAACAACAACAATAATAATACAAAACAAAAAACAAACCAACAAATGAGTGCGGTCATTGTTCTATTATTTAATAAACATGAACTGGAAAATTGAATAAATTATATGTGTTTAAGTAACCTACCATCAGAATGAAAGAATAATGCAATTCGTCATTAACAGTGTTAGTAGAGTGAAATACTCACAATTACATCCAAAACCTCCAGAAATGCCTTCAATCTCTTCAGCTGATAGATTTTCATAACGATCAATCAGGTCGCAAGCGTTTGTTTGGTACTTTTCAAAGTTTGATGGGAAATAAGATCCTGCAAAGTAAATATGTATTGATTCCAAATGATTTGTTTTTCAAATTTGCATTCAATGGTGCTCCTCACGTGTGACATTTATAATAATTGATTTAGATGATAATATTGACATATCCAGTGAAACTAGTTGTAATATTTGTGATGTCATGATATATATTGATTAAGGTATTTATCTGTAAATGTGGTATCTAGTTTGAAAGTATATGCGATAGAAAGCTGGTTTCACTGTGATACCATGATAATGGGTAAAGTTTTTGCATTTTCATATACTAAATCATTCTGAGGGTCACACAAGTACACAAAACATGCCATAAGAAAACGAGAATAAGAAGATTGTTGAGTATAACAACTTTTGGGGTAATCATAAATATGAAACGCGACTTATCAATTATTATCTACAAGCACATCAAGGAATTTTATTTCTAAATTCTAAATCATAACATTTTACAATTCTGAAACAAAATGTACATATTTTCATGTAAAATGGGGCATTCCAGGAGATATAAGCTAGAGGTACATAATGTTTATTGTCATCATAGTAGTATGCAGAAACAAAGTCAATTAGAGAAACCAATTATATATGAATGTCATGTAGCCCTGTTGCACGTTGCCGTCGGCTAACTTATAGCGACAGGGTGACACCATACCGATATTTACCGGATGCTTTTACGTAATAAATACTTGTATATCTCGCCGAATGACAGATAAATAATTCATAGTACCATATGTCCATATATTTATAGCATAATGAATCAAAACCTATATGAACTGATCACTGCTGATATCTATATAATTCAAACTGTCATCTTCGCGTATTGGTGTATCAATCATTTAATTACAAAATAGGTTTTAGGTTCACTTCTTTTCAAATCCTCTCCTATATGATATCAAAAGAGCATTACAAAAATAACAGAATGACAAACAACACGTAGCTTCAAGGAAAACCAATCAATCTTTCAAATATACAAATATTATAAATATTTTCATCATATCAATATATTCCATGGTTTGTATATTTCATTTATTGATTTCTCACCAATCATGTCAATAATATATTTTTAAAAAGTATTTTGTTCTTTCTGTTATATATAACATAAATTTCGCGGATATTCCACCTCCAATATCTATTGATGGCAGCGTGATTAAACCAAATTCCTCGATGAAAGTATTTAAGACCGCGAATGAAATGAACCTATTGTGCCAACTGGACCAGCAACAAATTAAAATTCAGATAGAATAACTCATTATAACTTCAATTTATACCTGAATTCCGCAAAAGGCTTTTTTCCTATATTGTACATCTATATATATAATCCTTGCCAACAAAGATACTAGTACCGTGATCTTAATGTGTTCTATTCCAACAGCGAAATGTTTAAAAGATAGCTTTATAATCGAACTGAAAGAAGCATTGTGTATCATTTCACTAGGGAAAACAACTGTCGCTGGTTTTTGCTACTGTTCCTAATTTGTTTCCTAACATTTCGGCGAAAAAACACAAGCTTAAATATATGCAATTATTTTGTTCGTGTTTTTTTAATGCAATCATCAGAAGTACCAGTACCTGAGGCCAATTCACATAGACCCTTGACATATTTATACCGACCAATCTCAAATATTCTTTAGACACCTTTCTTGGAAGATAGCGGTCGTTTCACTATTAAATTAAAAGACAAGAAAATTGGAAAACATCATGAAGTTGCACATGATTTAAAGGAGAGATCAAACGTTCCGGACAAGTATGCATCTCTAAGCTTCTGCATCTTTTCGGAATGCGACAACTCCGCGTTGCTGCGACAGATACCAAACTTCTAATTGTTCTCTTTTTTTCACTTCTTTTTATACCTCTCCAATCCTCCAATAGCGAACATTTTGAAAAATCAAACAAGATAAATGTTCCGACAGATTGTGTGATCATATCATTTAACACACATGCGACAACCAAACGTAACAGAAACAGGGGTATCGAGCATTCTCTAATAAATATGTACACATGTACATTTCGTTTACCTTATAAGGCGTAGAAGATACAAATAGTTTAATACCTCAAATTACGAATAGCATAGAATAAATGATTTATAATTGTATAATATATATAATATGTTAGACAAACCCGTCAGCAGATAACTTTGACCTTCCGATAATGTCGCCCCACACATAGACGGCTGATACGGCACTGAAATGACAATCTTTTCTCCAAACATCTCGCTTGCTGGCTTCTACAATGTCACAGAAATGAATCTTAGTGCTTTGTCAAACATTGGTATCTATTCAGTCCCCGAACTGGATATTCTCATATGGGGAGATGTTGTAGCATAGTAACATAGTAACATAGTACTTGCTGTACAGTCATTTATAAAATCAAGTTCGAAGTTTGATACTAACTAGTGGACAGCTACTGTAACCAGAACACCCACCCACCCATCTTCCTGTCCCCTTCTGTCACCTCCCTCGCCACTCTTTCTTTCTCTTCTTACTTTTCATGTTATTTAGTAGTTTATATATATGTTGAACCTCTTTGCCATCACGTTATATCTTTAGTTATGTCTTGTGTTTTCTGGAGAGTGCCAAGTAAGCTGTCAGAACTAGTGTCCAATCGCTTTGAATTTTTTAATCAGTAAAATATGTTTGAACCAAAGAAACGAATAATATAATAATAATGTATATACGGATAAATACTTACATTACATATATAAAAAATAGTATAAATGTACTGATGTTTAACCTATGTTTTATTGTGTTCTCTTTAGAACAGCTGTTATTCCACTTTTTGTATTAGAAGCTTGATTTAACTTAACTGCAATCACTTCTTAAACGATAAACTTCTATGTCTTTCTTACCTTGAACACGTGGTCAATTTTGACCACGTAACGAGTATACTCTCTTCTGAATCCATACCATACCGGCTCCCCTGATTCTACGAACCCCTTTATTGCTAAAGAAATCACACAATTTAATATGGTGGAACAATAAACTATTACAAAATAGTTATAAATCAGTAACTGATGTTGTAAAACGGATATGAATGGCTAGGAGATGACTGAGGAATACACAAGTTCGAAAAAGCACACGGGGAGGTGCACTAAGCCCGCATTATCAAACAGATCTAATAATTTTCAATATTGTCTGATTTCAAGAGAACATAAATACTTGACTGATTATTCTAAATCAAACGAACTTAAACATTGCATGCAGGTTACGACAAACTTCTTCAAAATACTTTACTTTAATTTACTTTAATTTACGTCAATTACATCATAACAATTTTTTTCCTAAAAGCGAGTCAATTTGTTCAGTCATGCTTGATAATTTGCATATTTTCATGAAGGTAATACATTAACTATCAACAGAACATTTGTAATGTATCCAATTGTCCTGAATGGATGCTTAATAATAGCCACACGCTTATATAGAAACCATTTTGTAGTTATACGTACGCAGATCGATTTTAAAATTACATATTTTTACCTTTCTTGCGTTTAAATGGGAGCTTTACCTAAGGGGGAGTTGCAGAATTGATCCTGAAAAGGCATCGGTGGGCAGTAACAGCTGGTTATACCATCCACAAGTAGCACCAACACTACCAGTGTGGTCCACGTCATAACCCTCAGCGGTTCCATTGCATCTATGCTTTCCTCTGATTGGGTATAAATAGGAAGAATTAAGCTTTCTCAATCTCAGTCATTTCTTCTGAAGCTATGTGAATTTTAACAAAGCGTGGATCCTAAATGATGACAATAATAATCTTGAGTGTTAATGTATTAAAGGTACGATTTTGTTCCGGGATAACATCAGTAATACTTAATTTCACCTCAAAAATATTAATTTCCCACATTAACATATACATCTAAATGGATATTTTTTCAATGACAGTATCTATACAAATTGAATAAAATTCAATACTGAGCACATGAAAATAAACAAAGAAATATTTTCATTCAGAAAATGTACTGAATATAAGTGGTGACTTATTCTAGATAGCTATATCTAGTTGTTACATGTATTTATAAGACTGCTACACTTCAAGAGATACCTTTGTCTCGTTCTGTTCCTATCTGCCGTCTGAATCTGGTAGGAATATAAAAATGAGTGTTTTTTTATTTGAAGTTTTATCCTCTACTGTAAAATTAATTTATTGCGTAGATAAACTATTGGTGACAAGTGGTTATCAATTATAAAATGTGTGCTAATAAAGTATGTAACATGTGGTTTGAAACGATCCTAGTTTTCATTTCAAATTATCTATATATGCAAGAGACTAAAAAATGTTCGCACTCACATTTTGGTTAAAGATTCTTCATTTTTATAATTCAAATCATCAAAAATTTGTTTCTTTTTATAATGCATTACCCATTAATGGAAAATATTTTTCCCTCTGTCTAACTTCCATTTGTTAGCATTTTTATTACTTTTTTCTCAATATTCTTGTTCCATGCTAGCTTTGAATATTTAGATTATCTACGATGCTTCTCTAACGAATTGCAATCTCATCTTTGACAAAATGATTTAAAGAAGCTCTCTCGACAATGCGGACTCCATTCAAATGATCTCTTAACTAAATAATACCCTGACCTTAACTGCTAATATCTCAATCTCCTGAAGCTAGCTTCCGGCGTATTTACACGCGATGTCATAAGAATCATTGTTTGTTGCATTTCCCCCCATTGATAAAGTGATTAGCTGGATACATGTGTAAAATATTCGTTTAAACAGGTTCGTTACGATGTCATAACTTTGTAAATACTTGGTCAGTTTTGTTCAACAATCACTCATGATATATTTCTCTTAAATGAAATATATGTTTTATTTAAATACACGGTTCTTAGAATGTATGTAAAACAAATAAGTATTAAATTATCTAAAAACAAATGTTTAGTTTACGGATGTTACAACTCCTGGCACCGTTATACATATGAATGGGCCATGGATTGGACGTTCATGCCAAGTCCCTGTGGTTTAATTAAATGTATATTAATTGTTGTTTTTGAAGCTGTATGTTTACCAACAGATGTTACTGATTTACATAAATGCCAGTGGTTGTAACAAATATAGGTGTCATGTAGTAACAGCCATAATGTATCAACACAGTCAATATTTACATATTGCTCTCCGAATATGTAACCTGAGACATACAGGGCTCTGAGCTAATCAATATTTTTTGTGTGTACGTTTTCGTGATATAGAATTGATTTGAAATATTAATTTCATGTTGTTATAGTTACAGAGCAGGTCCTTGTGATGCAGTAAGCATTTAGTTACTATTCTAGTTTAATCATCAACAGGTAGTTCAATTTTTATTTGAGGGAAGGAGAAAGGGGACGGCAGCAATTTCATTTGCATCACAACTATAAAATGAAGTGAAGACATCAAAAACAACATAATGTTAAATCCTTACCTTTTTTCGAGAAAATTCTCAATGAAATTCTTCACAGAAAGACAGGTTTCTCCCCCCCCCCCTCTCTCTCTCTCTCTCTCTCTCTCTCTCTCTCTCTCTCTCTCTCTCTCTCTCTCTCTCTCTCTCTCTCTCTCTCTCTCTCTCTCTCTCTCTCTCTCTAATCATCTTTTACATTACAATCCGCTTGTCCCGTAACTTTGTTGTTTTGACTGCAGTGTACACTCAATCATTGACATTATCATTTAGATTTTAGATATTATGGGGAGTATCTGACCAGAAGTTTTACATTTCTACCATCTCTGGTTTGTCGAGGAGTTGTTTCCCCTAGACTACGAAATAACTCAGTACCTCTACCACCACCAGACTCATTACATTCACTCTCATTCCCAGAATCTGAATTTACATCAGCCCAGGCCTGAGGCGTTTTTTTCTATCAAAGTATGAGCAATAATGACTACTGTGTATAGAATGGTCATAATATATTTCTACTTGCTAGCGACTCCCTCTAATTTCCTATGTACAAACTCAGGTACACTTTTCAAGGCCTCCGGTACTCATGGCACATACTGTATTTGGCACCTTTGTTCTGAGCCTGAGGGTAAACCCATTACAATGTCTAATGGACAAGGCACTTCACAGCCTAACATAACTAAGTATTAGCTGCACTCTGCTGCTTTGCCTTGTGGCTCGGTTCGCCATCATTACATAAGGTAGATGATCATCGCAGTCATTTTAATTTTCATTTACAAAAACTGATTACATTTGTAATACTGTTTTTATCTAATCTCTCCAGTAGTCCATTAGACTGGGATCTGTAGGGAGTAGTTATGTTTTTTTCTATCCCTAACTTTCCACGAATAGCCTTAAAGAGGTCAGATTCGAACTCTCGACCCTGGTCTGTGTTACTGGATATTGGGGTTCCGTTACGATAATCTAACGGCTGAACAGATTGAAAGCATTTCTGGAGGTTTTGGATGTAATTGTGAGTATTTCATCTAGTGGCACTGCTAGTGACGCATTTCATAATTCGTTCATACTGATAGTAGTTTAATTAAATGCATGTAATTTAGAAATATTTAGCATTGGTGAATCCTAAGTTTTCACTAATTTATACCCCAATCACGATATCATTGGCTCAATATGTCGGTGTCACTTGGAAGGCAGATGGACGGACGAGTTATTTGAATGTATATTGCTCCCGGCGGGTTTGATGTCTTTACCAACCAACTAAACATGATATAAAAACTATGTGTATTGTCTAATGGAGTTACAAAATTTATAAGCTCTACTGAGTATCAATTAGATCATGATCGTTCTGAAAAAAATAATTCGTGTATATTATGTCGTCTTAACAAAGTACTCAAAGAGATAGATATTCCGTAATGGAGTTCGGGGTTCTGGCAATTTTCTGCCTAAAAGGTTTGCAAAGTCATAAAGTTTTTTATGTTTTTGTTAAACGTAGTCTATAATATTAAGATAGCGCTGGTTTTCATCTAGAACCAAGTTGGCTTCATGGAATAAAATGGTATCTTTCAAGAGCGTTTTCATTAATTTATGAATATGGGATAAACTATATCAAACATCGTTTCCATTTTATACGATATATATGAGACTTGTCTGATATTTTCATATATCCCATAAAATATAGTACAACTTAATTTACACGATCCTTTATTTAAAGGTGGATATTTTATAAGGTTTTGTAATTGTAATTCAGTATTTATGAATCAAAATTAAAAAAATTAACGTGTAATGAAAACCACCATTTGAAATTCTTTGTCTTGACTTTCTTAATAAAAACTACAAATTTGCTTGATATTTGTATGGAATTTCTTTTCAAACAACTATACAAAAGACACACTAACAAAAAATTGTTTATTTAGAAAAGGAACCTTTGATAGATATTTTTTCAAGATCTTTGAATCAGATATTCTACGCAAAATGTCACTATCTTTTACACGATGACAAGAAAGGTTTTTTTATAATCCGTCTGCTTTGTTGAACTGTAATGGCCTCCTTTCATTCAAAATGTAATCTGAAACAGAAAGTGGAAGGTTAAACATTTCATGGTTTCAAGTAAAAAATCTTAATTAAACAGCCCATAGAAAGGAAGGAATTAATTCTCATTTAGTTAACCTACAGACTTGATATCTTCACATAATTGATCAGTGACTGGTAAAACTTGAGGCGTGTGAAAATGATGGTTTGAAATTAAGGTTGTCTCCCTTTGAACCAGTGCAAAACATAACTGATATTCATCTGTGTTGTGATAGTATGAATAACAATTAAAATTAGATTGGACAAATATCAAAACATGTGATATATATCAAATTGGTTAGAGAGATGTATACAGGATAATTCCGCTCTGAAAAAGTGCTTAACAAACCTCTCGACGAATACTTGCAAGGAAAATGCATTCATTACAAAGCCTGATTTAACAGTTAGTACTGTATAACAAGACATGATTGCCATGCTTTGATTTTCGTTGTAGTTTAAGGACGTTACAAGGCCGAATTCAAGACTTTTTGAAAAATATGTTTTTCTCAAAACAATGCTTTAACAATTTTGGATTTAACAGTTAACATGCAAAAGGAAATCAACTTTAAAACATACTGATGTTTATGCTGATTTAGTCGAGTATGCATTCAAACTCATCGTCAAGTGCTTGTAGGTCTGCAGGAGATATCCGGCTATATTCCTCGATCCATTCACACATATTGATACCCATGACGTCAGAATTACGAGCGATCATGTATGGGGTGACTGAAATACAGATAGATCAAACGCTAAATATCACAACCTCACAACATTACTCATCGCTTTTGTAATACGAATTTAAAATTTGGTTGCACACTACATATCCTTTTTTCTTCATTTTTTAAAAATTTTCTTTAAGTACAAGTAGATTTGTAGAACTAAATTTTTGCACGAAAACAAGTGTCCATAAGATAATTTTGTTTAACCACGAAAATTTAGTTCCACTAAATATATGATAAGACATGTGCATTTGGTATGAGAACTACACAAAGACCTAGTTAGATCTAAATGCCTGACAATCTGAAATATTGATACTGCTCTTTATATTAATTTGTCAAGAACTATTTGAAATGCAAATTGTGATATTTCGAATTTCTATTAAATTAACATCATTTTTTGTCTTTGCCACGTTCAGTAAATGTATATTACAATACATTTTTGTATATCGTTTTACTGCTGAAATTAGTTGGTGTTGCCGAATAAAATGCACAAAGATATTGATTAAATTGACAAATTCTTATGGAATATTATTATCAGTTTCAAAAGTCTATATCTTATTTGTGTAATTGCTGCTATTCAAACTATGAACTAAACTATATCGGCAATGGAACAATTACCTGAAATAAGGTACTCTGCGCCAGGCATGAGAGGTCGTCCACACAGAGACCCAAATTTTGGGGTTTCAAGCTGCACCATACTATTTCCATCGACTTTCTCTTTTGCCAGCTGCAATTTCATTAAATTGATTTAATTCTTATTTGGTTGAATAAAGATATTTGCCCTTTTTTCTTTTCAATGTTTATCTCATATTAAATTATTAGTAGTGGGCATTTTACAACGTTCTCTAACTTATACATATTGAGGAGAAATGAAACTCATGTTTGACCGAAAGTATGTCATGATTTGATAGAAATAAATTCTAATGTATAATATCTTCGATTTTGGAGGTTTTTGTTATCTTTTGTACCTTGCTTACTATTAGTTGAACCTTAAAGCGACATTTGCGTCATTCAGTTAATAGCGTCAACAATTTCCACGTTTTTTTAGTTGCTAAAGTAATTCTGTAGAGTATAACACTGGAAATCATCGGTAGAGGTCAGATAAATTTTACAGTTTATCATTACAAATTACACACCTTGATGTCGTGCGTAGTAACTCGGTGGGCCATTTTCCTACAGTTGTAGGACCGAAACAAAATATTTCAGCTTTTTCTTGATTTAGAGGGAAACCCGCTATTTGGGTAATAATTGCAAAATTAAAGCAAAAATACTCCCTCCGATTTAACCATGAAATAGACCACTGAAGATTTCTTTATCAAAGTACCCAGTAAAAAGGTAAAATTTAGAACTCTGTTAAATAAATGATTGAGGACCAATTCATTTTTTTCATTTTTTGGATGGTATGCAGATTTAACCTCATTAAATCCAGTGAAATTAGCTTTTCACATGTTTTTATAGCTTGTTATTCATGTATCATTCTATTACAGTTCAATGAAAGAGGAAAATGACTTTTCCTAAAAAAAAGTATTCTTATATTAATGTATAGCTATTTTAGTTATAAAACACTACCTCTGAGCCTTTTCTATTTATCACTATTCTGTATAAAAAAATCTCACCAAGAAAATAAATAATCGCTAATTGATACCATAAAGATAAGAATATGATAGAAGTATTTAAAGATGACATCTCTAAGTTAGAAGAGTCACTTAACATTGACATGGAACTAAGGTAAACGTTTTTAAATAATGATTTCTGACCAAATTCTTTCCGATTGTGTACTTACCTCCGTAGATTTGTACACCTTCTCAACTTTCACTGTGTATACGTATTTGTCTTGAAATCCTAAATAACCTTTCCGATCGAGTGTTTCATTTTCAACTTTTCCTCGAAAAACTGTATAAAACAAAAACAGTATTACAATGTGCATGTCTGTATGATCCTTTCTTATGACTGGCATGATAATATATCTATACAGGTACATAACATCACTGAGGAATCCTAGAAGGATGACAAAGACTTTAGTGTTGCTTAATGCAATTTGCTGATTAGCTTTATAGCTGTATAATAATACAAGGATTGTCACACATTTGTTAGTTATATGTGAGTTACAAAAAGTACAACTGTAAAGAATGTTTTATATTTTCTATGGTGTTTACACTGAAAATACAGGTACGGTTGTGCAGTGCTACTGCTTACTTACCGAATCCTGAACTGCAATAACGATCAGGAAAGTTAGGTGCCGGATAACAGGAGCAGGAAAGTGTTTGTTGAACAAAGATTGCAGCTAATGTCAAACATGCGAAGATCAAACACTTCATTTCCATTCTTGCAATGAAGGACTGGAATGTCTACTTTATATATCTAAAAAAGGGAAACGAATATTTGATTTTATAAACACGTACAGATGTAGGTTTATATGAATAAATGATAAACATTTAAATCAATATTCCTGAACATCCTTGCAGGATAAGTAAAACATGATAATGAAAATTGCATAAAATTACAAAATATATAAAGGAACGTAATTATAGATAACTGTAGAAATATATCGCAGGCTATGTTCCAGAAACAAAGCAAGCAAATATAACGAACACGCATATTACCGCAAAAATGTGTTACCTCTAATCCTTTGGTCCAAATATGCAGTGCATTTCCGGACAACTGTACCTTATATGTGCATTATATACTGCTAACGGGAGCTGATCATGTGTGGCTCTCTGCCCCCGAATATGGCTTCAGGGGCTATGTAATAATGTTGATATATATGAAATTGGTTAGGAGACAGATGTTGGTGAGGACAATTAACACAGCTTCAGGAATTACGTTGATGATGTAAATGAAACCAAGCTGACCTTTGTTGGTAATGGGCAATAGGTATGCAATTGCCACATGACGCACATATGGTCTAACGTGTTTATCCCACTACTACATATTGTGTCGTGTCAAATTCCATCTAATGGATGTACATATAGATCAGTTACAGTATCTATTCATATTCATCATCATTCCAACATATTTTGGAAATGTTTTATTAAGCAAATGACAAGGTAATTGCTCATACAAGAATATGCTAGTAAAATGTATTATTCGATATTATAAAGAAAAATTATCCTTAGAAATCACATGAATCTACGTATTTGAAGAATCAATCCTGCATTGTCTTGAAGAAAATTGATTAAGACATGCAGACATTAAGAAAGTGTGTGGTTGCCAATATGATTGTGTTTTGGGAATATCCATTTAGTCATGAAGTTTCATGTTTTTTTAATAATACAAATGATATGCTATAACATTTTCGTACAATGTATTACGTGGAAACCTGCTTGCAGCTTACTGTGGCTCTTATGAACTACTTTTAAAGCGAAGAGTGGTAAATCTGGATTTTGAATGAAGCAAGATTAAAAAATAAAAGAGGAAATATTTGAAGAAGTCTTTCTTGCCTCGTATGATCCATTAAATTAAAACCATAAAAACAAACAATAACAAAAACAGCTAAAATGTGAAAATTGGAATTGTCTGCCGTCGATCACATAGGCCATGCAGAAAGTTGTGGGAGTTTTTGTTATTTCATCTTGTATGTAGAGATACTTAAGGATATACATTTATACTTGTCTGAGCAACATTGGCGTCTATACGGATCCTCTTATCGCTCGAACTAATCCTTTCAATCGGAATGGTCTTATACATCGAAAGATAAATCAAATTGTAAGTAGAGCATTGTCACGGGAAAAAAATTAAGGCATTAGACGAACTTCAAAATCTCCTTAACCTTAACCAAGTCTATGTAGGCCCTCAATTCTCCCCTTTCACTGTTCAAACTGTTTCAAACTGCTGGAGTTAGGATAAGGTATCATTAGGCAATGGAGCTGTCTTCTAAAACTAGCATAGTGCATAATGATCACCACTACAAACAGTTATATCCCTATGAGAGAGATGCAGGTTGTTCCCTCATGTCTTCAGAAAACTGATGTCGTTGAAACGATACTCGGACATAGGAGTTGCGGAGACGAAAACTCAGTCAACCAACCAACCAAGGAAAACCATTATCCGATTTTTAAAACAAACCGGCAATAGCGAGTATGTATTTACATTGCTTATTTTTTCTGCATCAACATACCAAAGGTAAACATAATATATCTTTCTCCTTTTGCTGCGTTTGTGATACTTAACAACAACTGTATTGATACTGATGACATTTTCTACAGTTTTATAATCCTATCCTTACCTAAACATCGGTCTCCATCACCTCTTAACGTGTGTAATATTTTAATAAGTTATTCCTGAGAAAACGTGTGCTTGATGTTATACCTCTTCTTATTATCTGCGTTTGTCTAATGATAGTACCCAAGGAACACCAAACGGTCACGTCGTAATGTTGTCATACTGAACTGTCGTAATCTAAACACAGTAACACGACACTCCACCCGATCGTATTACGATGACGCCAGGCTTTAGCGCTCAGCGTCATACAGAAAAGTGTTATACTTGTAAAAACATATACATAGTTTGATTTATCTTAATCAGGAAACAACACTTGTATCCCACGAGTGACAGTTGCTCGAAAGAAAACACAAAAATATGCAATGTCCAATAAGGCACTTGAGTGTGTATAATCTAATTTGTGTCGCGCAACAAGTGGGACACAAGACAATGTCTTACTCTCTCAATTGTTTTTCCGACATTCTCCTCATATAAAAAATCGTTTGGTGAAATACAGCTATATCATTATCTCAGTAACGGGTATAATGGATTTCATTTTTAACAAGGACGGAGGAAGAACATTTGTATTTTAATCGAGTTCCACAAAGCAAGTAAAGCAATCATCAATGATGAGAAAATTACCGACTCTTTTGATTATAAAATGTCACAACAAACATAACCATTAGACAGAAATTCGGTACTGGATTCTTAAAGAAAAAGGAGGAAGCTGAAAAAGGGAGAAGGGGTGAAAAACACAAATTCGCTTTTATTCGTCGTTATTTACTTGACAATTACTGACATTAAGTAAGTGATTATAGAAACACATCAAAATACAAGTTGCTGTATATTTAACCATTCAATTACAGTGATCTATGTAACCATGACAAAAACGTATATCAATATATATATCGATATGCCAATAGTTATTGTATTTCTATGAAATAGCAGTCATGTTATTTGTCGCGTAAACTATGCATGTGATCAGGAAACTCGGTTAAAGAATACGATTAATCATTCATAGGCTAATGTCTAATAAACAATGTTATCGTCACAAATTTGCATGGCCAGACGTTTTCTGGTCGATACATCGAAGCATACATTTACACATTGGTATTCGATATTGACAGTAACCTCCATTACAAAATAACGCTTACATTACTAAATAAATTTAATTACATTGCAATAATTTTGAGTGCTTTTTGATATAATACATTTCCTTATTAGCAGATCATGTGTTAGAAACACAAACCAGTGAACAACGACTTTCAATACAAATTCATATCTAGATACCATATAGTCACTATGATGAATTAAACTTCGTCATACAGCTGTTTCGTCCTGCTAAGACTTTTCAAGTATACCTGTGCGTCAGCGATTGCAGCTGTGACCGGCTGTCATTGCAACGTTGAAGAGGATGCTGTCCTTTTAAATAATCGCGCTCCCTCAGCACAACGTACATTTACATGTATTTAGATAAAGATCTACATATGAGAATTGAAAGAAACTACTGTCAATGACATTTTCTTTTTTTGCTGTAAGAAATGGAAAATTGTAATATTGATATATGAACATATCAACACCTGCTTCAACTAGCCAAATGTATCCCATGACCCTAAATCGACATTAAACATGAAATACGATTAATTGTTTGTCTTGGATTCGTCAGAGATGCCCAAGGTCCAAATTTTGAAACATGCGAGGCGATGGAGAACAATCAAAATTAATGCAAAATATGGATAGAGAGGTGTGCAAGCAACCTTAAATACGAAGTTAGAATTAGATACAGTAGAGCTTAACTGCAGATATAACTGCATCATACATCTGTTTCGCCCTTCGAGATGCTAAATGTCTAATGTTTTAAATCTAAACGGCGGTGAGAAAATCCAAAAGTGATCAAAATGAATGTCGTTCTAGATGGGGAGGTGCAGTAACCCCATATTTCAATAATTTTTTATTTTAATCAATCTGATAGTTTTATAAGAACGTCAACTTGCACATTTGTATATACTGAACCGTTTCATAATTCGAATGAACTGGTACACAGGTTACTCAAGCCTCAGGGATTAAAATCCGTCAGCTCTGTCTACCATTTTCAATCTTGAATATTGTTAATAAAAACACACATAAGTTGTAAATGTATTTTCTTTGTTCTTTATTAGGTACAAGAGCATTTTCCGTCTTATAATATATATGTAGGTAGGAGGATATGTAAGGTTTGGTTTCCAATGTAATTGCGTTTGTTCCTTCCTGAAATGTTCTTGTCGCTACAAATTAAGTAAAAAGACCTTGTATTACGTGACCACTTCCAAACACAACATCTAACAATAAAGGCGATACAATCATGGCCTGGCAGTAAACAGTGTACCATAGGTATAAAGTATTGTCAACTTTTCTCAGCTCAAATACCTTCATTGTATAACGTATTACCAGTATGAAACATTTGAATAAATATTTCTATCGATTCATGTTATCATTCACGACTTTGATGATATTGAATATCACTAACGAGTCATATTGTCCTTTACACGGTCTTGTAATCACGCTGGATCTGGATTTTTAATAGAAGTTGCTGAATTCCTAAAGATTTTCACAAAGTACTGGAGCTGGAGTGAAAGTCTGTGATCGATCGTAGGAGTAAAAGCTAAATGCGTGCTGGTCTATCTGGGAACACATTCGTCCTACTTTATACACGACATTTTCCAATATCTTGTACGTTTAAGTAGTTTGCTTTATGAGAAATATATATATATGTTAGAAAATTTTACGTTTAAAATGCTTTCGTTCATGATGGATGGATCAAATTTAGAATGTATGATTACTTTACAGGTCATGTACGTTAAATCATGTTATCTACATGTTTATTCTTAAACAAAGGTGTTTTCTATTCCGTTTGGTGTGTCAAGATTTATGTGAACAAGATAAATAACCTCCGTCGACTGTAATACCATATCCATTAGCCTCAGTAGGAAATTGCAGAGGAAGGTATGAAATTTCCATAATTTAAGAAACTTCTACACAGTTTAACAAACAGAGTCCATTAGAAATTATGGAAAATATATATGAGACATTACATGTAATAAGATTATCATCTCTTATTTGACCAATCCTATGTAGTAATGTAGAT